TGGCGCATTTGCCTGCCTAACAAGTTAGAATCTAGAATCAGTCAACAGCCGTCGCGCGTCGCCAGCCAGCGAGAAGAGTCCAGTTCATAGAAAAAGGATTTTATAGTATATCCTTTTTCTATGGTCCAGTTCGACACCCGCTCCCGCAGTCTGTACGCAACCGTTGGAAGTAAGTCCAGCTTGTGAGGACTGCACAGCCACCACGTCGCCATAGGAACTTGGCAGTCAAGTAAAATTTGAAAATTCCATCGCAGCGAGTAGTCCATTCCGCCAGCAACAGGAAGATCAACAAGTGGACCTTGGCGAACAAGCTGTATTTGGAAATTCAATCCACATCGGGCCGTTGCAGCGATTAGTCCAAGGAAGACTGTCGCAGCGAGTAGTCCATTCCGCCAGCAACAGGAAGATCAACAAGTGGACCTTGGCGAACAAGCTGTATTTGAAAATTCAATCCACGTTTGAAAATTTAGTTTCTTTCCATCCGTCGCAGCGAAGACTATAGAGAGACTATACCAGGAAGATCACAGAAGTAAGTTCTGCACATATCCAATGCGCAAGTGTCTCGAGTTGATCGGAGACCTACACAGTTAGTTCCATTCCTAGATAAATGATACTATAGATAGGAAACTTGAACAGATTTCGTGGTCATTAACAGCGCTAACTGTTGACACTTTCTCCAACTTCTATTGCTTTCTTTTTCTAGGAATTATCGGTAATACAATGAGTTAAATTACCTTTAGCCAGTAAAAGATGCAAGCGCCCTCTAGTTGTACGCTCTACAACTATATACCTACCTACTCAATATTTGTTTTAGGTATTCTGCCGCCGCTAAATTTAAAATTACATAACAAATCTCACCCTACACAGATCACTCAGAAATTGATTTTGTAAAATAATTTTCACGTAGATAATTTTTTTTGTCACCATGAGAAAATAAGTACATTTGATAAAAAGCATTAAAATCACTCAAGCATTAAAGACACTTTTAAATGCTCTAATAGTCTTCCTACTTAAAATAAGAAATAATTTTGATACTGTAACTTTTTAAAATGTTTGTTGAAAAAATTTCAAATTTCAGTACATATTTTGAAAAAAAAAGAGTGAAAATGATTATAGAGTTTCAGTGCTTTCTATATTGTATTAGCTTTCACGGTGAATAAAAAAATATTACAAGTAAATAATTTTACTAAACCAATCTTTGATTAATTCTTGTAATAGAGATTTATTATGCAACTTTAAATTTTTCGTTGTGTTGATATCCATAAAAAAA